CTCCAAAACTTCATAACTGTTGTTGCAGATTGTTTAGGAATGGGTGCATTTCTTGACGTTCAAAACAACAATTGAAATTGTCTATTATTCCAAAAACTTCATAACTGTTGCAGTACAAATTGTTTAGGACGCGCCAATTTATTGAAGTTCTTAACAAAACAACAGTTGAAATTCTCTGCCATACTCCAAAATTTCGTAACTGTTGTTACAGATGTTTCGAAGTTTTTGATTCGGCTTGTCCTGTGTTACAAACGAGAATCGGTTGAAAAAGGTTTTCATCCGAAACATCACCTCGTGCAAAAGGGCTTGAAAATACTTAAATTTTTCGGTTCAAAATTCGATTTAAACGAGCGAGATTAAAATTTGTTTTGGAATATTTTTTTAAGGGTTGGAAACAAATTGGCGTTTTACTTTACACTTTTTTGCACGAGGTGATGTTCAAATAATTTTTGGCGGGAAAATTTCAAGGGAAGCCATTTTGAATTTTTTTGCCCAGAAAGTTGTCAGGGTAAACGCTGTGCAAATTTTTTCCAATTTTCCCGCCAAAAGTCTTAGTATATATAGGGAGCATTTTTTCTTGACACCTTTTTAATTAATTAAATGGAATTTCAATTAACTAACTAAAGAATATTAGAGTAAATAAAGTTATTTAAAAGACAAAAAGCACTTGCCTGTTTATTGTTTAAAAAATAAAATTAAAGATTACTAATAAAGATGGGAAAGGAACTGTACTGGTAATATTTATTGTCTTATGTTATTTACAAATATAAATAAAGCAGATGACAACAAGTAAATTCAATTTTATTAAGGATAGAATTAACTACAAAGTACACAAGACTAAAACATATTAACTTTTATATTTTTTTTAAAAAAATTGGCGCATGCGTATTTTAGGCGCCTGTATTTTTTCTAAGTTTTTTGGCGGGAAAAATCAAAATTTTAAATAGAACTTACAGCAAGTATGGAGAAATTAAAAATTTTTTGAAAAAAAAACGGCGCATGCGTATTTTGAGCGCCCGTATTTTTCTAAGTCTTTTGGCGGGAAAATTGAAACCGTTCAAACCGATGTTACTTAGGAAAAAACTAACACAAAAAATTCAACATTAAATATATTTAGAAAATTTGTGTTATTCCAGTGATAAATTTCAGTCGAAGCTATGATTTCACAAACAGCTCAAAATGGCAGAAACTAATTCGCTCTGATAACAGTCCTATCTTGATACTGGGTGACAAATTTTCCCTGCGATTCTTTCGACTTAGTCTTGAAGTAAACTCTTGGTTTAGTTTGTTTTCTACCTCTGAGTAAACTTGTGTTTATCTTGAATTCCACTGGGCTGATTTCTTCTTTTGGTTTTGCAATGAACGTCAAAAGCATCCAGAAACCTACGAGAATAAAAGAAAAAAGTAAATTAGTTGCTGCAATATAATAATACTAAAACTCGTTACGATAAGCGCGCATACTTATTGCTTCAAAAACGCTGGTTGACTCCATCAAATTAAACTTTAAATTTAGTGGTCGAATAATCGGGGGTCAGTTACATCAACAGTTGAATAATCGCAGTCGATTTCTTTGGTGAAAATTTTTATTTCTTATATATTTTCCAAATGGCTCTGGATGAATTTGCTTCGCGTCCGAAATCTGGGTTGTCACACAACACGTCTAGTGGCGCCCCAGAAAACGGCAGCGAATCTTAAGGCTATCGCTTACGGAACTTAAAACCCTGGACCAGGTTGTATATAATCTAGCTAGTGCATGTCCTCCTTGAGTTCTCTTACAGGAAAATGAGAAATTACTCCAAGATAAATCCGACTCATGTGCGTCACGTTGAACACAAAATGTGCACTGTGACACCAACTATTACTGATTTGCATTTTGTTTTCATGCATTCCCTGGTGTATTCGTCTTGGGCATAAAACCTTGTATTTTTTTCTAGTTTTCCGTTTTTGACTTCAGTTAAATGTGAATGAAACAACTTTTCTGGAAGAAAACAAATGTAAGTAATTGTGAACTTCAAATGCTTGATTTGAATTTCGCGGCTCCTGTTCGCGGCTTTAGCCTCCGAGTAAACTCGCTCATTAGATATGATAATATTGTATAAAAAAAAACTATTTTCTTTTCGTTGCTAAGTCCGTGCTTTTATGAATAATAACCACCAAGAGAATATGATCACTTCCGGACTTGTTTATTCTCTGCACATTTATTTTCAAAATTTCCGTCGATCCGTCAATAATTTTGTCTTTTTCAATACAAATTCCTCCTTTCCGAGCCACGGGCTCTATTAGCTTCTACTTGCATTATTCAATGTTCGGTTTCAACGGTGATTAATTTTATATAGCAATCTAGAATTAACGTCAAAAATCAATTTCTTGATAAATTGCAAATTGTGAATTTAAACAGTAAAGGCGAGAAAAAAGTTTTAAACCGCGAAATAAAGCTTTGGTCAACGGCAGTATTGTAGTGTTTATCGGCGGCTTTCGAACAACCTGGTCCAGACCTACAGGTTAATGCACGTGTCGAAACTTATCAACTCACCTTATTGAAAAGCGTCATTCCTGAAGTTGTCCTTTTTTCCATTCCAGCTTCTCTTATCCCAAGCTTGATATTTTCCTGGAGAGAGATATAAAGTTCCATGTGAATACATGTTGATTGAACGTGTATCTAAGTAAAATGTGATCAACTTTACGGGCAGGAGATTGATCTTGATTTCACAGAGAGTTGCGCCCTTGTGCGATTTTTAAACCTTTTGCTTTTTAACGAAGGACAAGCACTCGAAAGGTCAGCTTTCCCTGATTTTTTCCCCTCTATTGTTTGCAAATAATAAACTAAGGTTTCTTTAGGTGAGAATCTTGGTTAGAGTCTTATGGCTAGGAAATGCCTTTATACAAATACACAACTCAAGTGTAAGCTCTCCGTAAATTAAAAGTCAAGAAAACCTTTGGAGAGCTTTTCTTCAGTTCATGTGGTCTCCTTAAATTAGAACCAATGCAATTGAGAAGAATGGTTCTTATTCCAATGAGAAAAGTTGCAAAGTTCCACAGCCATTAAAGCGTCTCGTTCGGAAATAAAGAGCTTTTAATCTAGCTAAAGGAGATGCTGTTTTAGTGAAGGCAGAAAAGGCTTACATTTGTCCTGGAGTTTGTCAGAAAAGACAAGTGTATTGATACTACACAAACTCTAACCTGTGATTTGAGAAAACATTATCCTGTTGTCTGTCTGTCCATGCGTATGACGATATCTTTTTCCAGCTTTATGGCATTGTGTTATCCTTTGAAAGAAAAATACAGTTATGTTTAGATAAGGCTGATATAACTGTTTTATACACAGCTAGCTCATAAGGTCGTTGATTGCAAATTTTCCTCAGTATTGCCACGAGTTTAGTTCTACCCAGGAAGTGGAATAGTGTAAGAATTAAAGTAACGACCCCTCCCCCAAACGAACTCTTCACTCCACGCTCTTATTGGTCAATTGTAGTCTGTGAACCCAAGTAACAGTTTTAAAAGGAGCTAACTGAATGCAAAATACATCGCGAACCCAGGGCTTCAATAATTGAAGAATCAACTGTAACCATTTAGTTTTGTTCTTCCAGAAGCTTCCTTCCCCCAACCAAAGAGAAGATTGACAATTACGATTTTATTCTACGCCAAAATAGCTTGTCCTTGTCTTTTGGGCCCAAGCACTCAGAAAAAATATAGAATTTTCGGTCTTCAAGTTTAAATCTGATTGACAAATAGAAAAGAAAAAGGCACCTCAACGTACAGCGATTCTGACGAGCCTACAAGACAACACCTTAGCTTCGTAGTTTGTTTTGTTATAATCTCCAAACTGAAGTACCACAATTAATTAAAAAGCCACCAGCAGTTGTTTAACTTGCCATTTAAGTGCAACTTATCTCTTCGGAGTTTCGTAAAAAGTGAATGAAAGCAAAATGTCTTCTAAATAACACCGAGTTTAGAGTCTGCGGAATAGAAACGACCTTGAGTTTAAACAGTTTGATACTAATCGACTATCCTCTTTGAAGAAAATTTGTCCAGAAGTTGTTCTTCTCCTGTGGAATAGCGTTTGATGATATCCAGCTTATCCCGTTCTGTGCTTGGCAATTTTAATTTTGCTTGGAGTAAATGAAGTATAATATGAACTGACATACATACTGCGTAACGCATCTGGCGGTAATGATGATAATGTGCGAGGGAGGGGGGTGGGGTGGGGTAACTAAAACGTGTAACGCAGGACGAACTGACAGTATTAGAGACGCTATAAAATTCAGGTACTTTGTCAGAAAAAAAGCATTCCTCAGGCAGAATGTTTTACATGTCTCTGGGATAGTAAGAACATAGGATGAAAACCAATCAATTCTACAAAAAACAGAGGGTCAAGATAGAAATACTATATACCCCTTTATGTGGACTTTTTTGCCTGTAAACAACTAAGCCATTTCCAGCCATTACAACTCAGTTTATTTCGTGTGACAGCTGTTTAACCACCTGCACAATCTGGTCGAAGGTTGTTATTTAACAAACGCAATAACGATTTCTATCTTTCCATGGCAAAATATAGTAACATAACGATATCTTCCTAAAGAAAGTTATAGTAGAATTTCTTACCTCAGCCAAGTACATGGCATCTAAAACGATCCGTTCCACATGTGATACGTTTCTTTGAGAACCAATTGTCGTTCATGTATAATCATGTTCTCTGAAGGGATCTTGAGCTGCTGCTGATGTTGACATCCAAAGTGTTTTTGTGCCAGTTTGGCCCAAACGTTCCTTTAATACCACTCTACCTGGGAAAGAAATAAAAGGCGTAATGAAGTGAATACTCCTCATAAGTGTTTTTATAGTTCATGTCATTTCGTGCCAATGCTAGACCTAGTTAATAGCAACATGTAAGAGTTTGGTACCTACCCATACTGTGGATTGAACATCAGAAGCAAGAATTGTTAAAAGATGCAGCACTCCTCTCATCTCCACTGCGATTCAACTGATAGGACAAAATCTATAAGAAGTGAACAAAAAATACGCTATTTATTTGAACCCAAGCATTTTAGCAATTCATGAAGTGTTGAAACTATAAGAGATGTTAATATTGATCTTGTATTGCGGAAGAATTTTCTCCAAACGTTTTTTACTTGCAGTCATCTCAAATGAAAGGTTGTGTATGGAGCATTAAACAAAAAAACACGCGCCTCTTAGCAACGTGTTCATGGTAACATCAGTCATCATTACCATCATCATCATCTTCATCATCACTCATCATCATCGTCATCATCGTCATCATCATTATCAACGTCATCATCGTCATCATCAACGTCNCTCCAAAACTTCATAACTGTTGTTGCAGATTGTTTAGGAATGGGTGCATTTCTTGACGTTCAAAACAACAATTGAAATTGTCTATTATTCCAAAAACTTCATAACTGTTGCAGTACAAATTGTTTAGGACGCGCCAATTTATTGAAGTTCTTAACAAAACAACAGTTGAAATTCTCTGCCATACTCCAAAATTTCGTAACTGTTGTTACAGATGTTTCGAAGTTTTTGATTCGGCTTGTCCTGTGTTACAAACGAGAATCGGTTGAAAAAGGTTTTCATCCGAAACATCACCTCGTGCAAAAGGGCTTGAAAATACTTAAATTTTTCGGTTCAAAATTCGATTTAAACGAGCGAGATTAAAATTTGTTTTGGAATATTTTTTTAAGGGTTGGAAACAAATTGGCGTTTTACTTTACACTTTTTTGCACGAGGTGATGTTCAAATAATTTTTGGCGGGAAAATTTCAAGGGAAGCCATTTTGAATTTTTTTGCCCAGAAAGTTGTCAGGGTAAACGCTGTGCAAATTTTTTCCAATTTTCCCGCCAAAAGTCTTAGTATATATAGGGAGCATTTTTTCTTGACACCTTTTTAATTAATTAAATGGAATTTCAATTAACTAACTAAAGAATATTAGAGTAAATAAAGTTATTTAAAAGACAAAAAGCACTTGCCTGTTTATTGTTTAAAAAATAAAATTAAAGATTACTAATAAAGATGGGAAAGGAACTGTACTGGTAATATTTATTGTCTTATGTTATTTACAAATATAAATAAAGCAGATGACAACAAGTAAATTCAATTTTATTAAGGATAGAATTAACTACAAAGTACACAAGACTAAAACATATTAACTTTTATATTTTTTTTAAAAAAATTGGCGCATGCGTATTTTAGGCGCCTGTATTTTTTCTAAGTTTTTTGGCGGGAAAAATCAAAATTTTAAATAGAACTTACAGCAAGTATGGAGAAATTAAAAATTTTTTGAAAAAAAAACGGCGCATGCGTATTTTGAGCGCCCGTATTTTTCTAAGTCTTTTGGCGGGAAAATTGAAACCGTTCAAACCGATGTTACTTAGGAAAAAACTAACACAAAAAATTCAACATTAAATATATTTAGAAAATTTGTGTTATTCCAGTGATAAATTTCAGTCGAAGCTATGATTTCACAAACAGCTCAAAATGGCAGAAACTAATTCGCTCTGATAACAGTCCTATCTTGATACTGGGTGACAAATTTTCCCTGCGATTCTTTCGACTTAGTCTTGAAGTAAACTCTTGGTTTAGTTTGTTTTCTACCTCTGAGTAAACTTGTGTTTATCTTGAATTCCACTGGGCTGATTTCTTCTTTTGGTTTTGCAATGAACGTCAAAAGCATCCAGAAACCTACGAGAATAAAAGAAAAAAGTAAATTAGTTGCTGCAATATAATAATACTAAAACTCGTTACGATAAGCGCGCATACTTATTGCTTCAAAAACGCTGGTTGACTCCATCAAATTAAACTTTAAATTTAGTGGTCGAATAATCGGGGGTCAGTTACATCAACAGTTGAATAATCGCAGTCGATTTCTTTGGTGAAAATTTTTATTTCTTATATATTTTCCAAATGGCTCTGGATGAATTTGCTTCGCGTCCGAAATCTGGGTTGTCACACAACACGTCTAGTGGCGCCCCAGAAAACGGCAGCGAATCTTAAGGCTATCGCTTACGGAACTTAAAACCCTGGACCAGGTTGTATATAATCTAGCTAGTGCATGTCCTCCTTGAGTTCTCTTACAGGAAAATGAGAAATTACTCCAAGATAAATCCGACTCATGTGCGTCACGTTGAACACAAAATGTGCACTGTGACACCAACTATTACTGATTTGCATTTTGTTTTCATGCATTCCCTGGTGTATTCGTCTTGGGCATAAAACCTTGTATTTTTTTCTAGTTTTCCGTTTTTGACTTCAGTTAAATGTGAATGAAACAACTTTTCTGGAAGAAAACAAATGTAAGTAATTGTGAACTTCAAATGCTTGATTTGAATTTCGCGGCTCCTGTTCGCGGCTTTAGCCTCCGAGTAAACTCGCTCATTAGATATGATAATATTGTATAAAAAAAAACTATTTTCTTTTCGTTGCTAAGTCCGTGCTTTTATGAATAATAACCACCAAGAGAATATGATCACTTCCGGACTTGTTTATTCTCTGCACATTTATTTTCAAAATTTCCGTCGATCCGTCAATAATTTTGTCTTTTTCAATACAAATTCCTCCTTTCCGAGCCACGGGCTCTATTAGCTTCTACTTGCATTATTCAATGTTCGGTTTCAACGGTGATTAATTTTATATAGCAATCTAGAATTAACGTCAAAAATCAATTTCTTGATAAATTGCAAATTGTGAATTTAAACAGTAAAGGCGAGAAAAAAGTTTTAAACCGCGAAATAAAGCTTTGGTCAACGGCAGTATTGTAGTGTTTATCGGCGGCTTTCGAACAACCTGGTCCAGACCTACAGGTTAATGCACGTGTCGAAACTTATCAACTCACCTTATTGAAAAGCGTCATTCCTGAAGTTGTCCTTTTTTCCATTCCAGCTTCTCTTATCCCAAGCTTGATATTTTCCTGGAGAGAGATATAAAGTTCCATGTGAATACATGTTGATTGAACGTGTATCTAAGTAAAATGTGATCAACTTTACGGGCAGGAGATTGATCTTGATTTCACAGAGAGTTGCGCCCTTGTGCGATTTTTAAACCTTTTGCTTTTTAACGAAGGACAAGCACTCGAAAGGTCAGCTTTCCCTGATTTTTTCCCCTCTATTGTTTGCAAATAATAAACTAAGGTTTCTTTAGGTGAGAATCTTGGTTAGAGTCTTATGGCTAGGAAATGCCTTTATACAAATACACAACTCAAGTGTAAGCTCTCCGTAAATTAAAAGTCAAGAAAACCTTTGGAGAGCTTTTCTTCAGTTCATGTGGTCTCCTTAAATTAGAACCAATGCAATTGAGAAGAATGGTTCTTATTCCAATGAGAAAAGTTGCAAAGTTCCACAGCCATTAAAGCGTCTCGTTCGGAAATAAAGAGCTTTTAATCTAGCTAAAGGAGATGCTGTTTTAGTGAAGGCAGAAAAGGCTTACATTTGTCCTGGAGTTTGTCAGAAAAGACAAGTGTATTGATACTACACAAACTCTAACCTGTGATTTGAGAAAACATTATCCTGTTGTCTGTCTGTCCATGCGTATGACGATATCTTTTTCCAGCTTTATGGCATTGTGTTATCCTTTGAAAGAAAAATACAGTTATGTTTAGATAAGGCTGATATAACTGTTTTATACACAGCTAGCTCATAAGGTCGTTGATTGCAAATTTTCCTCAGTATTGCCACGAGTTTAGTTCTACCCAGGAAGTGGAATAGTGTAAGAATTAAAGTAACGACCCCTCCCCCAAACGAACTCTTCACTCCACGCTCTTATTGGTCAATTGTAGTCTGTGAACCCAAGTAACAGTTTTAAAAGGAGCTAACTGAATGCAAAATACATCGCGAACCCAGGGCTTCAATAATTGAAGAATCAACTGTAACCATTTAGTTTTGTTCTTCCAGAAGCTTCCTTCCCCCAACCAAAGAGAAGATTGACAATTACGATTTTATTCTACGCCAAAATAGCTTGTCCTTGTCTTTTGGGCCCAAGCACTCAGAAAAAATATAGAATTTTCGGTCTTCAAGTTTAAATCTGATTGACAAATAGAAAAGAAAAAGGCACCTCAACGTACAGCGATTCTGACGAGCCTACAAGACAACACCTTAGCTTCGTAGTTTGTTTTGTTATAATCTCCAAACTGAAGTACCACAATTAATTAAAAAGCCACCAGCAGTTGTTTAACTTGCCATTTAAGTGCAACTTATCTCTTCGGAGTTTCGTAAAAAGTGAATGAAAGCAAAATGTCTTCTAAATAACACCGAGTTTAGAGTCTGCGGAATAGAAACGACCTTGAGTTTAAACAGTTTGATACTAATCGACTATCCTCTTTGAAGAAAATTTGTCCAGAAGTTGTTCTTCTCCTGTGGAATAGCGTTTGATGATATCCAGCTTATCCCGTTCTGTGCTTGGCAATTTTAATTTTGCTTGGAGTAAATGAAGTATAATATGAACTGACATACATACTGCGTAACGCATCTGGCGGTAATGATGATAATGTGCGAGGGAGGGGGGTGGGGTGGGGTAACTAAAACGTGTAACGCAGGACGAACTGACAGTATTAGAGACGCTATAAAATTCAGGTACTTTGTCAGAAAAAAAGCATTCCTCAGGCAGAATGTTTTACATGTCTCTGGGATAGTAAGAACATAGGATGAAAACCAATCAATTCTACAAAAAACAGAGGGTCAAGATAGAAATACTATATACCCCTTTATGTGGACTTTTTTGCCTGTAAACAACTAAGCCATTTCCAGCCATTACAACTCAGTTTATTTCGTGTGACAGCTGTTTAACCACCTGCACAATCTGGTCGAAGGTTGTTATTTAACAAACGCAATAACGATTTCTATCTTTCCATGGCAAAATATAGTAACATAACGATATCTTCCTAAAGAAAGTTATAGTAGAATTTCTTACCTCAGCCAAGTACATGGCATCTAAAACGATCCGTTCCACATGTGATACGTTTCTTTGAGAACCAATTGTCGTTCATGTATAATCATGTTCTCTGAAGGGATCTTGAGCTGCTGCTGATGTTGACATCCAAAGTGTTTTTGTGCCAGTTTGGCCCAAACGTTCCTTTAATACCACTCTACCTGGGAAAGAAATAAAAGGCGTAATGAAGTGAATACTCCTCATAAGTGTTTTTATAGTTCATGTCATTTCGTGCCAATGCTAGACCTAGTTAATAGCAACATGTAAGAGTTTGGTACCTACCCATACTGTGGATTGAACATCAGAAGCAAGAATTGTTAAAAGATGCAGCACTCCTCTCATCTCCACTGCGATTCAACTGATAGGACAAAATCTATAAGAAGTGAACAAAAAATACGCTATTTATTTGAACCCAAGCATTTTAGCAATTCATGAAGTGTTGAAACTATAAGAGATGTTAATATTGATCTTGTATTGCGGAAGAATTTTCTCCAAACGTTTTTTACTTGCAGTCATCTCAAATGAAAGGTTGTGTATGGAGCATTAAACAAAAAAACACGCGCCTCTTAGCAACGTGTTCATGGTAACATCAGTCATCATTACCATCATCATCATCTTCATCATCACTCATCATCATCGTCATCATCGTCATCATCATTATCAACGTCATCATCGTCATCATCAACGTCATCATCGCCATCATTATCATCATCATTGTAGCAGTTACTAATAACTATATTTTGTTGTGAACATGCCTAAACAACAAAGAATGATGTATACCTGCAACTGAGAGTTTGTGCTCAGCCTCTTCAAGTACTTATAAAGAACAGGCTCCATCTTCACAGACTTTACTTCAACTGTAGAGTTCTCTTTAGCTCAATTCTTCAGCTGCAACCAAACCAACCAAACAAGTCAGGCTCATTCCTGGTCAAACAGCGCATGATAGCAAATGATAGCCGATGATATATAGTCATAGCACGGGCTTCTGTTTGACTCCAAACTATCATGCACTATTACTTGACTATCATAATGATAAATAACAATAACAAATTAATATTTTAAGAGGCGGCATCCAGGCATAACGTACGTTACGTTTGTGAGCTTGTTGATCAGTGGTGCTTTCTATGAAAGACTAGTATAGACTGCGATCTTTTTAGTTTAAAATTTCATTCATTTGAAAGGACTCCTGTCCGAATTTAATTTTATTCAAATCAGTCGGACACGTCAGTTGAAGATGTTTACTTAAGCCTTCTATGGACATACAGCTACATTTTTCTAGAAATTCGAACGAAATATCAGCACAATAAAGTTTGATTACCTCTCAACTTGAGAAGACTCGTAACGAAATAAACTATCCACTTCTTCGAAGTTGAAGTTGCTCCTGATTGCGGCCATCATTCTTGTTCTTGTAAAGCAACATTAGCTAACATTGACTCCACGTCCTGCTGTTCAAGCCCTGTACTTACTGCCACGAAGGAATATGACGATGTTCCATGCGTTGACTTTGACGTTGACTTAGCAGCTTTCTTTGCCTCAGAGAAACCACAGAACGACGTTCATGTTTAGCCACGTTCGCCATGCTCTTTCTTCGTGAAGAGGTGACTTTTGAAATATGAATAATTGAATACTAATGAACGATTCATCTGCAATTCAAATCGTGACCTCCATGTGCCTTAAAAAACGACCAAACTAAAGTCGATTTCTTTCTTTTCAAATGCAAATTTCACTGCCAACTGTGTGTTTTGGCGGGAGTCCCAAGAAGGGAACTTTTTCATTAAAACGCGAAAGATTTTTATTTCAAGGCATAAAATAACGATGGACCGCAGATTCTTCAAATTTTGAAAGCAAGTCTGGTCTACTGGTTTTGCTCTTAACTTGATCTGTAACCTTTATCATTGGTTTCATACCAAGAACACCGTCTAATGTTTGTAGCTAATTAAGGATAACCGAGACCAAGAGAAGATCAAGTTAAGAGAGTGAATCTCCTTATACCCAAGGCAATCCCTCTTAAGCTATATTTAGACATGGTACCCAGTTCTTCCGCGGATGTTTTTCGGGCCTTGCGTTGACGATTTTGTCGAGGATTTGTTTGTTTCGTTTCGTTTCAAAGTAAAAGAAAACCTCCAAAGATGTAGGGATGCCTTCTTTGATAAGGAAAGGAGCTTCTGCCCGCACTATGTTTTAATACATCGTTTCGAAACTTTAATGTTCAGTTTAACTGCAGGTTTTTCTTCGAAAAATCCCCAAGAATCAAATCGTTTATTCGAAGTCAGGTTTAATATCCTTTCACTAGAAAGAGTATCCAGGGCGCAGCTTTTTTGGGGATACTTTTATAGCACCAAATGCAAATATTCGTGGGGATTGAAGTAGAAGTGAAATAACACAAAAATGCTTAGTAGATTTGTTGAGTGTAAAAAGTTAGAAAACTTCGCTAAGGAAGAAATATAAGCAAGTATAGAGATTGGCATCGGGTGCGCTAACTTCACTGCAATATTTACCCTTTAATGGTCGGTGATCTCCTCTTTTCTTTTCATAACTCACTCAAGGCTAATACGTAACAACAACAACAACAACAACAAGGCCTATTCTACCTCAAGGAACGACAGCTGCAAAAGTTTACTTACATACCTAATTATGTTTAATCGAGTACGTCGACGTGATCTAAATTTCACCAATGTAGCTTCTTTTACTACTGATAGTCGAACATTAAGATCGTCTTGAAATAACAGAAGCTTCCAAAAACGCATGGTCTTCAATGCCCTCCATTTCTTTTTACCTTTTGGCAAAAGTTGATCTTTGCCTCAATTCATAGCAAGCTCTTGATAATCTGTACGTAGGAACAATTTGGGCGCGAACGCCCTTAAATAGCTGATTGCTCTCAAAAATAACGCACAGTGCTATAGAAATCCTAAAAATCGTTGAACATACAGGTGTGATGATATTCTCTTCCTAAACGATCGATTTAAGCTGTAACAGTAAGACATTGTGGTTGCAGAGTTTTTTTATTTTTTATTCTTTAGTAACAAATCTCATAACGATTGCAATTAATGTTCAATACTCTACGATACTTCAAATAACACTTGTTCGTCAAAATGACACGGCAGCATTCCAGATGCTTTGACACATTGTGAAAATATATTAATCTGATTCTTTAAAGTCATTAAAATTACGTACAAACACTTGAGTTAGTTCCAATATTATATTTTCTCCGTTTGTTTTTGGGAATGCTCTTTACCTAGGAAAAGATAGAACGAAGGTAGGAAGAGCCTGCATATATCTTTTTCGTTGAATGCGTTTTGCCTCCACCGTGTCTATTCCGAGCCTCCAACGCAGGCGCTCTTTGGGTTCGTCACGCAATCTTCCTCCCCCACGTGGAGAGGAAGGAGGAAGATTGCGTGACGAGCCCAAAGAGCGTCTGCGTAAGCTAGTCTATTCCCTGAGCAGAGAGCATGCCCACAGCTTATCAGCCATGAAAGCCAGCCATCATATTGGTAAATAAAGTAGTGTTAATGTGGTTCTGATCTACCTTCAAAAACACACCTACTTAAATATGTGTTTCCACACAGCACGATTGCCTTGATCTGAGGTTTTTCAGAGACAAAATAGTTGTTTTATTCCAAAATACTTACTGGATAAATATATTCCCCTTCACCATAACATTTCCGATACCTCGCACCAAAAGTATTAATTTTTGCAAAATTTGCAACCATAACAACGACAAACCCGTCGCCAGGCACTAATAATTAGCTCTATAAAAGTGACAGAGGGATGGGGAAAAATTATGAGGTTTGCAGAGGATGCTGGTGAGGCATTAATTCAATTTAATACCAAGTCTATAACATCATGTACCCAAAAGAAAGTTTGCTCTAACTTCTTGTTTGATGAGCAACTCATAAAGGCTTAGTGCAGTGTAGTGTCATTGTGTTGTAGACACTTTGACTCATTTTCACAGTACTGACTAGCCTGCTTGCAAATGACTACTATTTCCTTGCTTCACGTGGAAGAGTTTTCTTTGTAGACATCTGCAACCAGGCTCCTCACAGGCCTGCCTGCCAGATGGAACTCTACCCTCACTGACGCCGCACTGCCATTAGGACAAAGAGGGGAGTTGTTGTCACTTGAACTTCCCAGAATTGTTGAAGATGAGAGTTTCCAACTGTTCTCACATGATCATACTCTTACTGGACCTGCTTTTCTGCTGTTTAATCCCTTGGGGAGCATACAGCTGAACAGAATACACAGCAAGCACACAACAGAAAGCAAGAGAAAAGTAAGGTGTTCATCCAGAGGAAATCCATGTTTGTAACCCTTGCTTATTGACCAGGCAAACACGCTTCCAGCAAACAGTGGTGCTAAAGTCCTAAGATAAAGTAGAGTACAAAAACGCTTGTTATTGTAAACTTCTGAAAACAAGTATTCCTACCCCACAAAAAAATAAAGTAATTACACAAATTAAATACATTACTTGCAAAAAAGTTCGGATGTTTAATTTCTGGACACTTTTTATCTCATTTCAGACAACTTTTGGACAACAATTGTGGACACTGTAATGAAACATTGCTAAAGCAAATTTGCACCCACAGAACACGAATTAGGCTGAGACATTATCTGTCAAAATGATACTTTTACTGTACCCTCAAGGCTACAGAGTTACCCTGACAAGAAAATAACGCAAACTCTATCAAACCATTACTTATGTCAAACTGTGTCTCAACTAGAGTTTGTGCTATAAAGGAAACTAAGAGCTTTAAAGCTACTTTAAAATTTTATACTGTACTCACTAGTGTAAATATTTTGGATGCTTAAAAATTTCAGACCGTTATATTTGCGGACACTGTTTTCGTCCAAAATTAAAATCGTCGGAAATGTTTCCACGTCATTGCAAACATTGAGATGTCAAGAACTAGATTATTAATAACTAGTTTGCACAGCTCAGACATTACACCTAAGGATCTTAGATTCTCTCTATAATATGCCTGTATTTTGTTTTTTGGATTGGATCATAATATTATTAATAAGTACTTTGCGATGGGACTTTTTACTGATGTCATGCAATCTCAACAATTTTTCGTATTTTAAATGTGCAGTTAACAAATAAATATACAAATAAATAAATAAATAAATAAAAGAAAGAGAGAAAGAAAGAAAGAGAGAGAGAGAAAGAAAGAGAGAAAGAGAGAATGAAAGAAAGAAAGAAAGA